TTTATTCATGAATTTTGCGCGCGCTTGACTTGTTCGCTATGCTAATTTTGTTGCTGATTGTGCTTCTTATGCTTGTTGTTGTTATTGTTATTGTTGCTTGTTTGTTTGTTTGTTTGTTTGTTTGTTTGTTCGTTTGGTTTGGTTGGTTGTTTACTCAACTTATGCACACATTAGCCAGAACATATATATATATATATATTCACGTTTCTATGTTGTTTTCCGTGTGGCAATAAGCTTCTCTTCATTTTTTTATTTTTATATTTTTAAATTCGTCGCTTATATATATATATATATATATGTATATATATATACATATAGGCGGCATTTGTCTTTAAAAGTGCAAAACATGTTGCTGAACATATTGTTTTCGCCGCCACTCACCATATACTCGAAAGCATCTTTAACATCATAAACTTACTTATACAAAGACAGCGGAAAACAATGAATTCTTAACTTTACTCCGATTTTGGTTGTCTTTCTCAATCATTTAAAATGTAAAGGAAATTTTATATAAATTATTTAAAACATTTCATTTTATTGCTTTTAAATGATCAAAAAAAATTATATTCGCATTTAGAGAAAACTTTGATACCAATGCAGTCGGGCCAACGCATACGAAACCCTACAAATAGTTTGCTTACAGCGGGAGTGCCAGTTGATCGAAAATTGTTTCCACTTATCTTAGAGAGCTCTTGAAAGAGCTTGCAGATCTTAGTTTAAATTTCCTTATTGATTGTGAGCTGCCTATATTAAGAATGTGGTTATGCAGATAATTTTCAAAGTTGAAACCGTCAACTAGGTGCAAGCATATATAGATAAATTTTTGGCGAATATGAAGGTTGAACAACAGACATTTGACAGACAGACGGATGAATAAACATGACCAGACAAGACCAATAAAATTACATACATTTCATGTAGGTCCGGATACCTATCATATTGTTGTTGGGAACGAAAGACTACATTTAATCAACTCTATCGATTATGTTTGTTATTATTGGAACGCTAGAAGCATATCGACACTTACTGAACAATAATGAAAAATATTATCGTGATATGTTTAAAACAACACATATTGGAGTCATCTTTTGACATATTTGAGAACACTACCACTCCTCACAGCGAACAAAAACAAACAAGTGAGAAAGTTATCTTCGACTGCGGCTGAATCTTATACACTCACCGGTATACATTTACCACGCTACGGTGGAAGAAAATTGGTGCTTGCATATGTCTTGATCAGCAACATATATGCATGGAAATGACAAAGTAATGCGAAATGTCAATGTACACAAGGGTTAAATTCGATGATTCTCACCTTTCTCTACATAAAGTAACAGTGGATCTAATACGGCAATTCTAACCGAAGTCCAAAATGTTGCGTTCCTAGGCGATCGTAATATCTGCCGCAAACAAACACCGGATAATTTCGGTCAAAAACGTGTCCGATAATAAGAATATCTTCTCTATATGGTGAGTAGAGATGTAGGGAAAACGCAAGCAGTTTGGAAGACCCACGCTGTACCTATCATCCGGTACATACGGACTATACATACCTATGCATATTTATTGTGCATAATGTAAGGTGAATAAAAATACAGATTTCGTCCTCTATTTTGATTTTTGGAATAAGCAAACCTATGCAACGTACAATGCTCCTTACGCTGTTACTGAAAAGCGTTTTAAATAAACTTTTAATTTATTTAGTGAACTAAAAGGTCAATGTTAAATTTTGTCCCAGTCCCTTCTATGCGGTTACACATAAAAGCTTAGGGGGCGCTTAAGACTTTATTGTTTAAGAAACCAGTTTTTTCTAGACGACCAAGCTTTTTTGGATTTAAAAATAATTTTTTTTGTAATTTATTTTATACTTTTTAATCGCTCTAACAAATCGCGTTCTAGCGCTCAAATCCTCTTGCTAGACATCGATATTGACGACATTGTTAAGAAACAACTAACCCACAACTTCATGACTCTCGCCACCTTACTTATGAGCTTATTTTAAAATTAGCATATTGAGCTTACTGCACTCTGCCGAGTAGAGAGCAGAGTAGAGAAACCGAGGTGAGCTCACTTTACTCTCCACTGTGGGCGAGTCGTTTGACCAAATTGGCTTAATTTCATTACCAACTTGCTTACATTGTTTTTGCCGAATTTCAAATTGATATTTAAATGTTGGCGGCCAAAAGGTTGCCAACAACGCACACGCTCCAGAGACGCACAGACGGACAGACATGACTTGATCGATTCAGAATTTCATCGTGATCAGTTTATAGCATCACTAAAGCTTTCTTCTGATTTTAATGGGTTAAAGGAATCCAACAATTAGTAATGGTGTTTATGAATATGATAATGCCTTTGTAAGCACATCTAGCTAACATAGTTTATGATTTTACACAATTCAGGAGTATTTCTCTATTTTCCAATTTTTCACATCTAAAGTGATTTCTGTCATCAATGGTCATCTCGCAAGTTTTTGTGCACATTACATATCATTACATATTGATGCACAATCCAGTCCAATTTCACTTACCATGGCATGCAAATATGATCCTTCTTTTATAACTTCTCGCATTGCTATATATATATATATATATATACATATTTAATTGTAAAGAGGGCGACTGCTCGCTGTTGTGTGCAAGAATAAAACCGAGACCAAAACCGAAACCGAACTATGATCGTTTATCACCTATGTTTGGTACCCAGTCAACGTCAAATAGCAATCCATCTTCACATACAATAATTCATATTTCATTTCGTATGCAGTGATTGTATATCCCGCAAGATTAAAATAATATGTTTATAAATTATATAAATATTATTTAGTTGACAATTACAATAATTTATTAATTTTGAAAAAAACAAACTTAATTTTTTTTTAGCCAAGGTTATTAACGCTATTGGGACAGTAAACTGACGTAAGCTGTTGTAGTATCATGAAATCGAAAAGACATTATGTCTATTAGTGCTAGTTACGAAGTGAAATATCTTCTATAGGTCATTCATCGCACACGATTTTCTGCTCGTGCAAACGTATCAAACGTATAGAATCGTGCAGACAGTTGTTTCCCAAATCTAATTGTGGACGTAATTATACGAAATTTCATTGAAATTATCCTCGTTTTGATCGGCTAATCAAATCCAAGTCCTAAACCGATGTTCGACGACATCAGAACGGGAACAGGACGTAACTGCAACATTAACCCCTGAGCTAATACTAATGATAATACTAATGATAATTGTTGCCCATTAAGCGTTTGATGCGGCGAGATCCTTTATACAATCGACCATATTGGAGAGGTCAAAAAAAGAGATCAGAAAAAGTTACAATGCTGACGAATAGGGAGACTTTTACTTTCCCCTGTGACTTGCCGTTTTACTATCGTACTCGGAATCTTACGTTCTCCAGCTGTCACTTGTTCCATGCCTTGGAAATCAAGTGTGAATTATATCTTTTTTCCATTCCCTCAGTATCAAATTTTATTTAAATGATTTCTATTCTCAAATTTTCTTAAGCCTCTCCGAAAAACACATATTTAAGTTCGTGCGAGGTGAGAATGGAATAAAAGATATTGCATTTTGTTTCGTACTGTTATTTAGTTTTCAGTTCGACCGCAAAATATAATGATCGGAAATCATAAAAAGGAAGAAAATTTTATATTCGTTTCCCTTGTAAAACCATCCAATCATTTCCGTTACAAACGATAGAAGTAAACTGGCCAAAAATATGTAAGCACTTCTGTTTATCATGAATATTTTTTTTTGCAAACTATTTTCTCTTTATAAAAAGCTGATTTCCCGAAGCCATGTAGAGGCGCGTTACGCATCAATTTTGATTAACTATTCTTTTTTTAATCGTCTTTTAATCGCATTTCGGATTTTCTCATGCAATTTTCTTAAACTTTTCCTTCCTTAGTTCGTGGATTTGCTTATAAGCATTTTGCGGAAAGCAAAAAAAAAAACAAAAAAAAAAAAAAAAGAAGCATAAATTTAATTAAAACAGAAAGTAATGCATTATAAATATTCAGGTAATGCAATTTTATGATGTAGACTGAATAGTAATTGAAGCAATTTATGTATAATTCTTACCATAACAATTGTCTCATTGAATACGACGACCACACCTAGGAAAAAATGCGCTTGTTTTCATTTTTGCTAAACTAATAAAAAATCAATCAAGCTCGAAAACGTTATGCATCACTACACAACGCAGCAACAACAATAGCAACAGCATAAATTCTAATTGTAAGTTAAGACTAAAGTTCAAATGAAAAAACAAAAAAAAAAAACAATACACAAAAGAAAACAATTGAAAGTCAACTAAATACTCAAGCATATGAGAGAGCGTTTCAAGTTGTAAACGAATTCCGCAACAAACTCGTATCTAAATAACGATGCATCTGAATATAAAATATAACCAAAGCGTGAAAAGGCAAAATTTTGTATTTCTCGCCATCTCTTTTATACGTTATATAAAATTCGTTGATTGGTTAAAAGTAGGAAAAACCAATGAGGGCAAGGTATACGATTTGTTGTCTCATTTTCATTTGCTTGTTGAGAGAAATTAAGAGAGAAGTAAATTTTGGTATCGCTTTCCTATATAAATATTTTTTTCTTTTGTTTGCTTTATAGATTTCGTCTTCTTTTTTCCCCGTTTTCCTGTCCAAGGCATACATTAATGCATTCAGAATGAAAAACTCCGTTCGAAATAAAAATGCACTCGCCTTTTTTTTTTTTCTTTTGGAAGAAAACTTCTATTTCTTAATAATTATTTCATTTTTCGTTTATATTCTTAGAAATTTATTTACAAACTTTTAAAATTATTGTAAAAATGTAAATGGTTGTATTTTCACACAATTATAATAATGTTTTCATGTGTTATATTTTTATATATTATATGCATGGTCAGGAAAAAAACAATAATAAAAATATTTTTAAGAATTGAATATGACTAAACTTTTTCTAAATAAAAAATAAAAGAAAATAAAATAAAAATAAATAAATAAAAATAAAAAAAATAAAATTTTTTTAAAAGTGAATTGATCCCATCTTTGCGGATGCTGCAAAAATTAAAAACGTAATTTAATTTCTCCGGTTAATGATTGCGTAAAGTGTCGTTAATGACATGCAAAATATTGATTTGTAAATCGGTAAAGGCTACCGGTGACATTTTGGCATTGCGTATTTTCATGGCGACCGCTTTAAAAAAAGCTCCCACCTCATCATCCTCACCACTATTTGTGATGTTAGCATTGTTTGCGGTAGATTGATTCATTGCTAAAATGGAAGGTGATAGCGTTGATGGTGGTGTTGTGTTGGTTCCTGCTTCCGTCGTATTTGGCTGATTATTTACAGTGATGGCTTGTGCTGTGGGACAAATGTTTGTAGCAGCGTTTAAGGTCAAATTATTGCCATTTGTTATAGCGCTTGCTACATGATTGCTTAAAGCACCATTAAATGATGTGGTTGTATTGTTATTATTACTATTATTGCTTGCAATGGAGTTATGTGATTTTATCGGTTTAACACCGATCATCGAAGATGCTGAGCTATCATTCAAATCTAAAGAAGGCATATTGATATGCTGTTGTGGCTGTAAGTCTTGTTGTGACTGCTGTTGCTGTTGCTTAGAGCTTGTTTCTGTTGTCGTTGCTGTTGTTGCAGTTGTTCCTCTCTGATTACCATGGCTGCCATATAATCCAAAATCGGATTGAAATTTATGTTTCTCAGAGTGTGTATTTTGTTCTAAATTTGCACCGTTATTTCCCTTATCGTGATGGCTGTCATCTACCACACTGCTACTATCACCAATAATATAATCATCAATATCCATATCGTCATAGCCACCTGCACTCACACATAAGTTATCAGACTGATTAGAATGCTGTTGGTGCTGCACTGGTCCTGCGTTAAGGCTTCCCATTTGTAATTGCTGTGAGGATGAGTTATGCCCTTGCAATTGCGGCAGTTCACACTTAATGGTGGCCAAAGGTGAACGTAGCGGCGAGTTATCTTCTCCCATATTTATGTGATCGTCCTCAACGTCCATTTCGGGATCAATTTCAGTTTTTGGTATTTGCGTTAATGACTTGTTCCCGAAATCACTTCATGAATAGAATTAAACAAATTAAAAGTCATTTCCTCTTTAACAATCAAAAGCTACTCACTTTGTTTTATGTTTTATATATTTCTGCAAAAAACTTAACGCGTCATAGTGCTTCCACCGTGGTAAAGATTCGATATTTTCCCGATTTTTTAAACGCTTATGTTCCCGAATAAACTGATCCCTTAAAGCTTTCCATTTAAGACGGCATTGCTTCACGGACTTCTTCAACTTGCGAGCAATTACGTCCCAAACCTCAAGTTTCAATTTAACGTTACGATAGTTCGGATTGTAGCTGTTATATAATACATCTTCATAATGTATTAATGAAATGAGTTCTTTTTCAAAATAACTTTCAATATTAAGAAAAGTATGTATAGGATCATCATCCTCTTCGTCAGGTGATTGCTGGTTAATGGTTGGTTGCTGCTGACACATTTGTTGTTGATGTATTTGTCCGACACAATCCACCAGAGCGTTATATAAGGCCTCATCTGTTTGCTGTTGGCTATGAGTTTGTAGCATATGGTTATCGTTCAGAGAATGATTGTCCAAACGCGTAGCAGTGTTAGAAGAGCTTGTCGAACCAGTTAAATAGGACCAATTATTGTCATCTGTTTGCTGATTTTGTTGCTGTAAAACGCTGTTTAACTGCTCCTCTGTCAGGGTTGTAGAATCATCAGTTTTGGTAGGAACAAACTCACAGCTACCAAATGCCTGAGCATTACTTTCGATTTTTATGGTGGTTGTGAATTTTGTGCTGTTGTTTTCGTTAGAGGTTAAATTATTATTGTTGTTAGTAGTAGGAGAGCAATTGTACGACGTATTACTACTAGGTGGATTGTTCGAAGGATTTCTGGGCCGGTAACTTTAACAAGTATCATGAAAATTAATTTTATTAATAACGGCAAATGTTAACTCACTTTCTCGCTAAAGCGTATGGTCGCAGAAAATCCAATTCTTTAAAATATTTCCACTTAACGTTCGCCTTTACATTAAACTTAGAACGTTTTAGTTCTCTGCAGTATTGATCGCGCATGGCTTTCCATTTAGCCTTGCACTGCATTTCTTGTTTCATTAAATAAATTAGTTAGACAAATTAATTGAATTTATTACTATTTCAAAAAAACTTACCTGTCCATCCTACACATTCAGCGATTTCCAACCATTTAACATCCTTGCGGTGAGTATTGCGATAATTTTCATGTTTAGGATTGTAAAGGGCCTGCTCTTGCGATACAAGCGAAATCAGTACCATCTCTTTGGGAACCTGTACAATATCGTCTTGCGTCAAATCGGTTATATCACTGAGATTTAACATTTGCTCTTCATCTACCGGTGAATGATGATGATCAGTGTCTAAACCTTAAAAAAAAAAAATTATCTTCTACTCCATTTAATATCCATAAATTAGAAAACCATTACCAGCTGCTGCTGCTACGTGGAGTTGCGGGTTGCGACTTGGATTTTCTGTGGCATTCAAAGTTATAGTTTCCATTTCAATTTTACTAAATTGTTCTCTTTAATAAAAATTTTCTATTTTAATATTAACACTTTACAAATTTTTTACTTTTAAATTATTTATTAAACACTTAAAATTTTATCAAAATATACTCCATGAAATAAAAAAAGAAAAACAATTTTCTGCTCTACGGCTGATAAAAGAAAAAAGAACAAGAAATACTTGGACATATGGGTAAATGACGGGACTGTTAGATAAAAAATTTCGTTGTTTAAAAACGGGAATGTTAGATGAAAGTTTAAATCTTTAACTAAATACATTATCTTATTTTATATGCGATTTAGTAATATTTACTAATATGCTGTTTATTATTAGTATGGCCGAAAACCATAGGTGGAAAACGCAAATGCACACGTGTATAAGAAAAACATTAAAAGCAGGGCCGGTAAAAAGTTTTAAAAATTTAATAACGAACAACGAGAATCAAATGAGTGGGGATGGATATACTTGTTTTGAGAGACGGAATAATAAAGCATTAAAGGGAAAGAGAAATTTGAAGAAAAATTAAATAAATTATACCCAGAATGTGAAATAATTGAAATATTCATCATAATAAAAACTATTTGTAGTTGTTTCTATTATTTTGTCCGAAATAGCATGAGAATAATAATTGAATCCGATATAATTTCCATTTGAATGAATTGTAATATAAAATGTTATAGATTATCCTTTTTTTCGAAAAATCTAAAACTGCTTTCGAATTCAAATCAAGCTTGTCTTTCGCTGATAAAGAATTAGTAGATATTTGCAATGAACATTTTTTTCCAATTCTAAATATAAATTTTTTTTCAATGAGTTTCAGTTAAATAGATCCAACGTTAATACATTTAATTAAGTCAGAACTATGAAATAAAAATCCTATTTCACTGAAATGGCAAGCTATAGTAAAGAAAATAATATTTATCAAAAATATTTAGAAAAATAAAACCTTAAAATAATATGAAACAGAAATACAAAAGATATTTCTTTATTAATTTTGATGATGCTTTTATTACACATTCCATCTATATGTGCATCGGCGGCGAAATTGTGGTAAATTTTATATACACCAGTGATATCTGATCGCCGGAGCCTTAATTGCAGCTACATGGGTTGTAAATTGGCCGGCTAGAGAAGCGAACATATTTTATTCTAAAATCTCCGCATTGAAATTGTACGAAACAGTTTCACAAAGTTTTTTGACTTATGGAATTATTTCAAATTCCAAATAAATGCACCTAATTTTAATAAAATTATGCACAATTAATGTTTACATTAACATTATTTACATTGTATGCAACTTTGACGTTTTTTAACACTAACGATTAATTCTTAATTAATTGTAATCTTGGTAACCATGACAATCATGAAGTCAATTATTTGGCAATAGTTGCAATAAATACTAAGAATAATAAAATTCCTTTATGGGCGTAGAATTTACTTTGCTATATATTTCCTAACGAGGCATCGAGACCGAAAATAAAGTATTCAGAACCTATATCCATTATCCATAATCCAATTTTATCAAAATTTCGACGTATAGGTTGAAGACAAGGCAAACAAAGGGACAGGCAGACAAGCTCAGGATGATTGTGTAAATCAATTTGTGCAATAAAAGTTGGATTTGTTTCAAGTCCATGGCATGGTTGTGGATGCTTCTCTCTTACACCATCAATGATGACATTTTTTGTCGGAATAGGTTTAATGCAGGTGAGTTTTTCGATAATATATGAAAGAAAGTAATCGATTAACTTTGCCGTGCTCTTGTAGGTGAATGTTATTGCTGAACAAGGCCTTCGATTACCTCTGTGAAAAGAGTTTCGGCTGCTAAAATTTCTGATAAAAAACTTTCGAAAATTATATAAAAGCTTACCTCGTTATTGTTAAGTATAAAAGAATTACGAAAGTGAGGCCTTGAAAGTATTCAATTACAATAACGAGACGTTGGACGCAAGTAAAAATTTTAATTTTAGATTAAATTTTGAACATAATAGGAGAACATCAGCTAAAACAATAGTTAAAAGGCATGCATAGCTACAAATAAAAAGGTACATAAATAGGAAAATAGATAATTTACCAGTAAAATTTTTAAAATATTCCACTTAGAACATACTGTTGTCATTGTATATCATTTTTAGAGCAAAATTATTCTTGAAATTATTTGCAAAATGTTTTTCAACATCAAGTTTTGGAAATTGAAAAAAAAACGCTTTAAAAGATTGAATTTTTTTAGCCGAGCATTAAGAAAATCTCTGTGAGGTATATTTACTTAATTGTAGACAGTTTAAGCAAATTTGTCCTTAGCTTTGAATGTGTCGTAGGTCGTATGAACTAATAGAATACTTCAACAACTTATTCCAGTGATAACTAGACGTGGGTCACAGATATATTTCGAATCTCTCGCATTTCTCTTTGTATGGAATATCCTGCTTATATTATATTGACGGCAAGCGTGTTCCGTAAGATGTACATGCGAATTATAAATACAATGATTTAAGATATTATTTGGATGTTATTATTTTTATTGTTTCTTGCCAGTATGTTTTTTAAGGCTCACTTAAATTATTAAAATTCAATTCTAATTATTTATTATTCTTTGTTTTTGTTGAATTTCGTACACAAATTTAAAGCCAAAGGCGCACATGTTGATCCCAACTTGTAGAGGCCAAGCACATTCCGTTAGGTGATAGGCTGATGCAAGTAATACGATTTTCATGGCCTTGCATAATGCCTACAAAACAGAACATGTATAGAAATCGATAACGTTTTATGTGATTCCTTATAAGTCGATAAATTACCGTTATGGACGACCTTCATCGTGTCGAAGGCATGTATATTACCTTCTATGCCAGAACAAAGTAAATAACGACCGCTTGTCGATAATGCTAAACTCAAAGAAATGGAAAAAATATTCATAATGTATTTTAAGAACAAATAAGGAAGTCATATGCGGTTGAAACCGATTCTTGTGTATACCCATATCCCATTCGTTCTACCATACAAATACCAATTTCATGAACTCGCTATTGCAGGTTAATGTTACTAGATTCGCATTAAATCATTTTTGTGAGGTTAAGGTGAAAAATAAGTGAAAAAAAGTGTACATTTGCGAGAGCCGGCCGATTTTTTCATTTTTGAACATATTTGCAATAGAAAATTTTATCCGTTCACTTTTCAGTGTCTTTGAGTAATGAGCAAAAACCTACAAATTTTCGCTAAGAGGAACGCCAATTGCTCTCAGCTTACACTTTATTGTGGGCGTGTGCATTGACCCATTTGGTTTCCAATGTTTTTGCCAAATTTGAAATTGATATCTCAATTTTGACCACCGGGAGAAGGCTAGGGACAAACATGCGCACAGACAAACAGATGTATATATATATATATATATATATATATATAGGATCTCTAAAGCTTGCGTTTCCATTTTGCAAACGCTTGGGCAAAATGAGTATACGCCCATTATTAGTTGATGGGTGTAAATATTTAATTTCAAGTTTTTCACATAAACGCACCACATGAGGTAAAACCTGTATTCTTTTGCGGCGGTTCATATAGAGCAATCTGCTGATCCGATCTAAAATCATATAACCGAGCAGTCTGATCTTCAGAAGCTGAAGCGAAACCAAAACCGCTAGGATGATACTAAGAAGAAAATTAATTTTTCTATAACGTATTGTTGCATACTATGCCGATAGACATTTAAAACTTACACAAACTGAATTAACGTCCATTTCGTGGCCGAAAAACATTTGCTTATGGGTCTCCTCACGTACATCCCATAGCTTAGCTGTTTTGTCTACCGAGCCTGTAACGTAAGTGTTCATATCCGCTGACAACGATAGACCGGCTATATCACCAGCGTGCCCATTAAAGTCCATTGTCTTTACGCCTTTCTCCAAGTCCCAATGACAGCTAATATGTTTAATTTCAATTAATATTTGAAATCGATTTACATATAACGTTTTTTACATCTTCATATCACCTGATCCGGTTATTAAATGGCTATCGTCTAGAAAACGGCACGAACTTAAAAATCCTTCATATCCCAATAGTTCTCTAGTCATTTTGGCTACACCGGAAGCGTCGCGATTATTGACGTCATATACAGTGCACTGATTGTCCATTCCGCCGCAAGCCACGAAATTGCCGGAAGGTGAAAAAGCCACTGTCATAACCCATGCCGAGCGTAATGGTATGATCTTAGGTAGACGCAAGAGAAAAAAAATTATGTAAGTAAGAAGAATCTTTCAGATGCGCTAGGTCAAAACAATGTGTCCAAAGCGTCTTGATTTTCGTTTGCGAATGAGTTGTCGGTGCTCGGTTTGAGATTTTAAACGATCCGAGACATGTATTTATAAAAATCGGTATTGGCTATGACCAATACTTAGCGCTAAGTTATAAAGAAGATAAATCATTCCCATTCTCCAACTTACCTCTTAGTCAACGAATATGAATATTTATAAAAAAAATCTGTTGTCGTTTTAAATTTTTACGATAATGCAAGTCAATACAGAGCCGAACGGACGGACAGACAGGCATAGTATAACTTACTATGGTGAGTGTTATAATCAAATATTAATAATACATTAAGCTATTAGATGTTTTTCTCGATTAAGAATACCCACCTGCACTTTGTTGGCTGTCCATGTGTCCCAAATTATCAGTTTGCCATCTAAAGAACCCGTCACGCAATGTCTCGAATCACCTGCAAAATGCACCGAATTCACTTTATTTATATGACCCTTGAGGATTTTCTTTGGTCCCAAGCGTATTTTCGGTATATCGCCCATATCACCACACTTCTCCTGCAGCGTACAATCAGCTTTGGCTTTTTGATCATCCTTAAAGAAGCGATAAACTCATATTTTTATGCAATAATTAATTCATTTTAAGGAAGAAGGAATTTCTTAAAAACTTTTACAAATAAATTTTTTAAAGTTTTCCACAAAACCTCGATTATTATAGCATATAAGAAGTGTTAAGAAGTCGTCTTCTCAACGTTGAGTTGGATTCGTTCAATATATTAATACGTTAGGTGATTATGTCAAATTTTAGCCGATACACTAACCTCTCCGAATATTCCGAAAACAATGAAAAATCTGGTAAGCATCTCTCAACATTGTTTTTGTTTAGTCAAAAAAAAAAAATAAAAAAAAAACTTCCTTCGAAATCTTTTGTGTGTGAGAAGTTTTATCTTTTTTTTCTTATTAATTGTAGTAATAAACCGGATGTAAGCGGATGTTACGAGCAATAGTTTAAGTAATTTTTTCAATGATACGAACAAATTAACAATTAGTGTGTTAAACCTATCACACAATCAATTAAGATATGGGAGAATGCAAAGTATTAGTCTTAATAAATATTTATGCACTTCGGACAAGGTGACGAATATAGGTTGAAATTGTGCAAGTTTAATTAGTCTCGGGATATATTAGCATTGGGAATTTTCCTACTGAACTGTTAGATACTAGAACCGTAACCTTCGCTTTAAAAATAATACATTTCGCTGTTGCGCTCGCACTTAAGTAAAAATCTTTGCAAGTTTTGCGCGTTTGCTTGTGTTTTGCCAGAACGAGTCTTAAACGAGGTAACGGCCGCTTACAATATACAATTTGTTTAAGCTGAATGTAATTTCCATTTTGATGAAAAATCATAATCACCTTAAATTTTTGTATTAAATCATTGATCTCGTCGTGCAGCTTTTTTGTTGCATCATCTACTTTAGGCATTGCTTCTATTAAGATATCTTTTTAATCACTTGCGAACTTCCTCTGTGGATAATTTATTCCGCTTAGCTGTGCCGACCGTATCCAGAAGCGGTTATAGACTAAATATTTAAAATCTTTGCTTAAATTTTTTTCGGTTTTTCTCTTCTTTGTTGTCGTTTGGTTTCTTTTATTTTTCGCGACTAATTGCATTAAGTTGTAATTTAATTGGATTTAGTCCACGGTTACGATATTGAGCAAATTTGAAGAAGAGATGACACAAATAACTATCCAAACCCTGAAATAAAAACTGTAAACAACGTATATATATATATATATATATATATATATATATATATATATATGCAGGTGAACATATTTAAATTATAACAATTCGGTTTTGGACGAACCTTTAAAACTAGCCGCCTTAAATAAGAGGAAAAATTGAAATTCCGATTCTTCATACGTGACGTGCACAACTTTTGTACAGGTAGGATTACCCATAGAAAGTATGAGGACATCTTTATCAGTGTATCTTTTGCAGTTTGTCAGTAGTAGTGTATGTAGGGGAAAATAATAATTTTTTGCTTGTTTCCCAAATTTTATAGTAATATTATTAATAATAAGTGTAATAATGACTTTTTTTTTTTATTTATTTATTAGTTCCATTGACATTGTTTAATGCTTACAATCCGTCAATTGACATTTCATTCAATAATTTACAAAAGGTTCGGTGTCAATTAATGTATTCGTGAAACGTTTTCATGCCTATCATCTCTTCGCTTCTTATATGCTTTAAGTTGGTTTATTATACTGCTCAGTATTGCGTTCATGATCTGCGGTGTGTGCTCCGGCCGTAGTTGTTATAGAACCACTTGACTTGACAAATGTAGCAGACATTTGTGCTGTGTATACGGTGTATGTCTTCCTCAGGAATCTCTCGTTCCCTTCAAACTCATTCACCACCATAGTGACATGAAAAGTTTCTTTTCTCTGAGAGACTAACGTACCCGTATTCTCTCTCGACGATCGCCCGGCAGCAAGATTTCCGCAAGACTCCTCTAGAAAATGCTGAGTTGCCGCACGGGAGAGTTTTTAGTTTCTATAGCTATCAATTAGCTGAAAAATGGTGATAGCTTTTGAATTTTTTTCGATTGATGACCAAAAGTATAGGACGATATTTTTGCATTGTTCCTTTTCTCTAATTCAAATGCTTTATAAGACTACCTAGTTTCACTAGGTAGCTATGTGTTTACAACCGGTACAACGGCCGTTTTATGGAGATAATAAGACTAATACGATTCGATTGTGGATCTCGGCAAGCGGGGACTGAGGAGGACAAAGAAATCTCATTCTCTCCTTTATACCTTAATCTTCTGATGGGTTCAAGAAAGTATCAAACGATTAAATTTTTATATTTTGTTTTATTAATTCTTTTAAATTTTTTTTTTTCAAGAATCTTGTCAAACGAATTGATGTGATTTATTTATTAAAAAATTTTATAAAAATTTCGAAGTTTCTTACAAAAGAAGAAAGTGTATATAAAAAAAAAAAATAAAAAAATAAATAAAAAAAATATTAAAAAAATTAAAATAGAGGGGGTTTATTTTAAAATTTTTTTTATAATTTTTTTTTTTTTGAACTTTTAGAAATGTATAGAAGAGAAATGAAATATAGAGAGGAGGCTTTCATATATATAAAAAGCACTTTGCAAGCATTGAGAATATCAGGATATCGGTAATATGTAGAGGAACGAGAAAGTAGAAAAGAGATAATAAAGGAAAATTATAAAACATTTATAGAGTAAGAGACTGGAAAAAGAGAAAAAGAAAGAAGAGAGAAAGAAACAAGGGGAAAAATAACAAGATCAAATTATGAATGAAATGTGAGAGAAGAAAGGGAATAAGAAAATGGAAATCAGAGAATGTATAGTAGAGCATATAGTGAGTGGGCACGATTTTATATATAATATATAGTTTTTACTTTTTGTTTTCGTAACTTTTTCTTTTTCATTTATTTAATTTGTTGTTTTATCAGACTCTCAGTAGAATTACTAGCTTAACGTAATTCTCCTCTGTGTTTGAACTGGTTTTTAAAAAGAATTTGTTGAGAAATTTTCCTAACAAAAAAAAAAAAAAGGCAAATATAGAATCCTAACAAAAGCTTAAACCTTACATAAATAATTCACAACTGCATAACGCGACTTAAACTGAGAAACCGTCTCCAGTAGGATCTAATATCCAAGGATAGTTGTTGGGGCATTCCATGCATGTGAAGAGACGCAAAGTTTCACCAGGCAATTCGCGTGTAGTCAAAGGGCAGGCATTCGGTAATGAACAATAGGGTTGACCCTTAACGTCACATTTCTCCTTCCACTCTTGGAAGTCACGAAGCGCATTCAATTCGGTGGGATTTTGCATCCACTGAATAACTTGCAGATTGGTGACAAAGAAGACATCGTTGCGTCCTAACATTTCCTCAATAAATTTAATTAGCTCATCGCGGTATTCTTTTTTCGATTTCAGCCATGAAGCGTGGAAGTGTAGACCTAAGGGAGCACGATTGCTGTTGTAGTGACGATTGAAATTGTGACGTAAAAGACGAGCAAATTGCTCGCCAGTGGCTATATTAGAACATGAGTCCACCATATGACAACCGGGCAAAGATTCATCAAAGGTGGGATCATCACGACGATCAAGTTCGTTCATAACTAATTCCCATACTGGGTGACTGCGCGACGGGCAGTTATGCGCATTACCATTACACTTGTGAGGCATGCGGAAATATAAAGTATAAGGCCAAATGGGCACCCGACCCAAAGAGGCTGTAATCGAAGCATCATAGACAAAGAATTGATCGGCCATCATTTCGAATTGTTTGTTGCCGCCAACCCGTAAATATGGAGCCCGCATACCGATTATGGAGCCATCAGTAATATTGGCAAAGCGTTCGATAATCAATCGGGCGCCAGCCATTTCGGCTAACCAATCATCGTAGGTACCACTGCTCCAATAGTTCGGATCGTCTTTGTGTGTTAATGAGAAGACAGCGATTTCATGACCACGCCTATGAAGATCTTGAACAGCCGAATAGTTGGTGTATTTATGGGAGACAAAAAAGGTGCCTTTTATGGAGCAGCCATTGGGATTCTGACGCTGACCGTTGAATATATCTTCATACAAATCAATGTTATCCACATTGATGGCGCCATTGAAAGTAATAGTAATCATTTGAGGTACTTGCTGGGGTTCAATGCCACCAGGTATGCGCGTGCCATCGGCCGAACAGAAGCAATCCGGCAAAGCGCACTGAGTAGGATCACATTCAGGGGCGCGATTTGGATCATCGTCAACAGCTGTAAAAGCAAAAAGTATTTAAAATTTTCTTAAAAAACGTTACAAATTTTTTTAATTCACTATAATTACTTACAGCAGGCATTTTCATCGGATTCATCCTTACAATCGGGTTTACCATTGCAGAAAAGTTCCTTCTCAAGACATTCACCATCGCCGCAAGATAGTTTACCTTCCGGACAAATGGGCTCGTCAGTCTTCAGAATAGGTTTGACTTTACGTGGTTCTGTTTTTTTTTTTTTTTTTTTTGTTCGTTAGAAAAGAAAACCGATACGTAAGTGTATTGCTTGAAATTGAGGAATTTAATTATATCGGGGGGATTGTACAAACAAGGTTAATGGTTCACTTTAAGACAAGTTATAGCGAAAGGTTAGAAAGCAAAGCGTAAAGTTAGTTACCAAAGAGGAGGAAGAGAGAATAGAATCGAAATTTTAGTAAAATTTTTTCGTTTCAATACCAAACCAAAGTTCCTAGAATTTGGATTTTAAGTTGTTTTGTTTTGTTTTTTTTTTTTCTTATTTTTTGGTTTTTGTATGTTGCGGGTTTAACAACAGCAACGTTAAGTAAAATGATTTGTATTTGCAATTTAGTGATGATGATGGTGAACATGAAGAAAAAGACAAAATTCTACGTTTTATTGCAATAAAAATATGTCCGTTGAACCAGTGTCTATTGGAGTGGTTTGATGACTTAATAATAAAGTTGGGTGGGGTGTCTTCCTTTGAACACAAGCGCGTACATGTATATGCATACATATATAAATATATATATACATACACACACACACACACACGCACACACATGCACACATACAAATGCAAACGAACAGACATACACACACACACACACACACACACACACACACACACACACACACACA